CAGAAAAATAAGGGCTGGGACTTAACCCCTTGGTGGCCAGCCCAGAGCAGAGCCCGCGCAGCTCCGGTCCCTGCAGAAGGGCCAGGAGAAGGGGGAATTCGCTGCAGAGTGGGGGACCAGCCAGCCTGTGCTGCTCCAGGCCACAGAAGAAATTGCTCCTTTCCCTTCATATTCAAATCCAAGCCTGAGTGAGGACGGGGGAAACAAACTCCTCAGAAGCCCTGGGGTTAGGTTTGGGACAGGAGGTGTTGTCTGGACTCCCTTCCCTGTCTCAGACTGGTTCCTGCTCTGTCAAACTCCACCGAGGCTGCAACCAGTCCCACCCTCCAGTGCGGCCAGAGCAGCCGTGCAGGGAGCTCCTGCCCTGCTGACAACAGAGCAGCCCTGCGTGGCCCCAGCCTCCACCTGCCCTGAGCTGGTCCCGCTGTCCTTCGGTGTCTGCAAGCACAGTCCCCAGTAACGCCTCTGCCCAGGGCACGCCGGCACCGTGGCACAACGCCGAACCCGTGCAGGGTTTCCCATGCACCTCCTGCTTGATATCACGGTTTGGGGAAGGGGAGGGAAGAACAACACCGAAAAAATGCAGTGTCTGGCTACACAGCCCTGCCCAAGGGCAGAGGAGAAGGTGGGGAGCGGCTGCCAGCTTGGCAGCGGCCAAGGTGCTGGGAGGCTGAAGGGAAGGAAACGCTCGCAGGCTGTGCAGGAGGGAGCTGCTGGAGATGGAAAAGCCTCCCTGTGTCTAGGAGCAACGTCCCGAGCTACGTGGGAGAAGGGCTCTCGGGCAGGGTCTGCACGGGGGGCTGCACTACGCAGCCTTCGGAAGACCCCGGCGGGCAGCGTGGCTGTGGCTGCAGGAGGTCGCCGGCAAGGACCGGGGCCAGCCCAGGGTGCTGCAGGAAGGGCTCTTCCTTGGGTAGCAGCGACTGGGAGTGAACCGGTCCCAGCACAAACGGATCAACCCTTCTGCAGGTGCCACGGTGTTTGCTGGCGATGCTAGTCCAGACCAGGGGACCAGCATCCCTGGCTCAATCCTGCTGACAAACAGCGTGACTGTGCTTTTATCTGCCCAGCTCACCTTCACTTTCCATGAATATTGATAGGCACCTAGCGTGTTCCACCGCACCAGATCCTGCCAGAGTCCTGCTTACACCTGGGCTGGAGCTTTGGCAGAGAGAAAACGCCCAAAACCCCAGCTGGACCATGCAGGGGAAACCTCCATGTGATATTCTTGCTGATCCCTGCTGCTTCACACCTTGAAACAGGAAGACTTTGCTTTAAAATCCTGACAGCTCTTTACCAGTGCCTTTGCACACCAGTGGATTGGCTCCAGTTGAGTTTTGGACCAAACCAGTGCCTGGCTGCAGCGAGTCCCCAGAAGGTGACCTTAACATTTGCTGCTTTTTGGTGTCACTGGACACCTTCATCAGATATGTGATGGGGCAGGGTGACAGGTGACACGGCTGTGCTCCTGGCTGGTTCTCTGTCCTGCTCAGCTCACCGAGTCCGTGCGACCTCCAGCCCCGGGAGACCACAGCGACCCATGGCTGCTTAGCTGCAGCTCGGCGAAACACAACCCGAAAACTCCTGCTCTGAAGTCACGTTGAAGCACTACCAGAGCATCTGCTGAGCATCTGGTGGCCTCTGTCTGGGCACATCCCAGGCCTTGGTGGAGGCCTGACACCGCAGACGAGGGTCGCAGCGCTGCCCGGTGAAGCTCTATGGGTTAGCTCTGGTGTGACCATGAGCTGCTCTGGTTCCACCCGTGACACCACGAAAATGAAAAGGAAAATCAAAAGTGAGAGAAGAGGAGCAGAACATGCGTGTTGGGGCAGATCTGCAGCACACACAGAGCAGAGTCAGCGTGCAGGGAGCGGAGTGAGTGTGCAGCGTGAGGGCACACCGAGCAGGGAGGTTGTGCGGAGTGGGGCGGGTGTGCGCAGTGCGAGCACGCGTAGAGCAACAAGTGTGGGCACAGAGCAGGGTGAGTGTGCACGTGTGCACCGTGCAAGCGTGCACGGAGCAGCAATGACACGCACAGAGCAGGGTGAGTGTGCAAGTGTGCGCAGCGCAAGCGTGCATGGAGCAGCAATTACACGCACAGAGCAGGGTGAGCGTGCACCGTGCAAGTGTGCACAGAGCAGCAATGACACGCACAGAGCAGGGTGAGTGTGCAAGCGTGCATGGAGCAGCCAGTGTGTGCACTGAGCAGGGTGAGTGTGCAGGGGAGCACAGGGTAAGCAGGCACGGAGCAGCGTGAGAGGCAGCACACGCAGAGAACGCTGACACAGCTCTGTCGGGTCCCGGGTGAGAATAAAACCTCCAGCGGGTGCAGACGTGGCCAGGTTAAAGTTCGGTGGGTGACGGGCGCTGCTAAGATGGAAAGATTTAATTAAAGATGCTAATTGGTCCTTTCCCTGAGAGACAGTGAATGTGGATCTCCCCCTGCCCGGTGTCCTCACCACCAGGCTGCTCTGCACCCTGCGACAGGTTTCTCTCCAGCTCTCCTGTGGATGGTCGCGTTGTCCCAAGGCTGCTTTGTTTTGCGTGGAATAATTAATTGCGCGGGGGGGGGGGGGGGGGTCGCGCGCAGGGCGGGGGGCCTGCCCTTCCCGGGCAGCACCAAAGCGGCCCCCCCCGCCCGGAA